GCCCTCGCTCCGTCACCAGAATGAACCCTAATGAAAAGGTAACACCCTTCTCCCTTTTTGCTTCAATTGCGGAGGTCCGGACACATAGTTCTCTACAGAAGCATGCATTTGCAAGGCGCGGCCCAGGTACCTTCGCTCAAAAGATACAGATTTTTACTGGGTATTGGGACCACCGCTACCACCCACTGCGCATGCACCCAACCGGGGCGTCAGCCGGAGGACTGCGCCTGCGCGCGCCCGCCCCCTCGCCCCCCGGCCCCACGAGGTCTAGCGCGCGCCAGGCCCACTCGGGCACCACTGTTAGTGTCTCCGCGATCGAAGACCGTCACGTAGGTCCCCAAGAAGACGTCGCCAAGGATCCACAGGGGCCCTACAGGCGGAGGCATATCCAAGGCCTGGAAGCCGGACAGACAGAGGTGGACGCCAGCCCGAGCAACCTAAGGCGACAAGACAGGATCATCGGGTGACAAGCCCACCGGGCCTGCCTGTTCCTGGGAGCCTTGCTTCTCCCCGCCCGCGCCCCCGGGAGAAATGTTTCTCATGGCCAACTCTGTTATGATGTCACATCCCGGCCCACCCACGCAAGTCTGGTCACCTTATGTCACTCGGACATCACTGTGACAGCCACTTACCTGGATGACGTAGTCCTGGGCGGTGAGGTTAAACCAGACCCCGCCAAGGAGGAAGGAGACCGAGGGCAGCTTGGGAATGTCGGAGCAGCGAACGAGGTGCTGAGGGAGAAGAGGAGCTAGTGAGGATGCCAAGTCCAGTTCTGCTCCAGTGCCGCCTTTGGCTCCCTAGTGCCATAGGGTAATGCCCCTGTGGGGCAGCCAGGTACTCGGGGCCTTTATGGACAGGCACTGGCACGCAGGTCTCTCTCACGCAGTCCTAGATAAACCTGATCAGCCCTCTTCCCCGACCACGACCATCCACTGAGTCATCAGAGTTCACACTCAGGAAACGGCCTTGCTTCCCCGACTGCCCTCCAACCTGTCACTCCGGAGGTCCAGTCCCTTCTGCCCTGGGACACCTAGCTGCCTGCTTGCCACCCTCAGGCCCCAGCGTCCTGCCCTAAGCCCACCATCGAATTTCCATCAGCCCCCGTCCCCCACCCACCATAGCCTGGGTCTTTACCTCCCCAGCCAGCAGGGGAATACCCCCAATGGCTGTTTGCAGAGCCTGGATCTCCTCAGCGGGTCCGGTGATTTGGGACGTGCCTGTGTCCAGGATGGCAGCACAGCCGTGGGCACAGAGAGTTAGCCCTGTGGCCACCTCCACACTGTGAGGGCCAGGCATTAGAGGCAGGGTCCAGGGGTGCAGGCCCCCAGCCCCAGTTCCAGCCCCAGCCTGGAGGCCAAGTTACTCACCGCTCCATGTGAATCTGCCAGTAGGCCGGGATCGTGACAGGCACAAAGGTGAGGGGCGGGATGTAGTGGGCCGGGTCTGAGCCCCCCAGGACCAGCTCTCCTCCGTCAGCCGCGTCAGGGTCCCTGCAGCGGCAGAGTGCGATTGGTGTTGCCGGCCTTCCCCTGCCAGCCCCAGGAGTGGACAGGATGGGACGTCCTGCCAATTGGGCCACTTCCAGGTCCCAGTTGGGGTGATGGGGT